AAAGGATTTTCATCAGCTGGGGTTTTTTGAATTTACGGTAAAGTCATGAAAAATTTATTTAAAAAGGGAGTAAATATGGTATTGAGCAAAACCACTAGCATATTCGGAAGCAGCGTGCTCTGGAAGACCTAAATATAAGTTTTTACTTCAATGGGACATATATCGGTACTGAACTTTGAATTCGAGATTTCACTGAAATTCAGTGTCCTGTATACCAAGATGAGGACGAAGGTGCTGTATGCACAGACTGGCTCTCATACGGAGCTGACTAGGTGCTAATCAGCATTGCTGACATCTCATAACCTCTATGACTAGGCTGCGGCAAGTGCTTCGAGTAAAGTGCTTCCCATGCCCCTGAATTCGAATATGAGTAGAGAATCCGCGAAAACCTCGACATTTCCTGTTTAGTAGAACCCGCGAGGGTGTCTGGGTGAACGGTGATTGGTGGGCACGGATTGGGGAAGGGGGGATGGTTACCGGAGGGGAGCAGTGCCGACTTGGGCTCCTCTGCCTCTTCATTATTTTCTCTCTTTCGAATCTAGATTTTGAGCCGCGACTTGGACATTGATGTGATGGGAGGGCCTGCTATCGTATGACGTCACAAGCTCAAAATACCAAATTTAGAGTGGGCGGTCCCTTAACACATTCACGACAAGGCCGATTTTTCGATTACTGCCGTTTCAGGCCAGAGCCTTTTTGCTTTGTCAAACTCACGACTCACCCATGAGTCGTATCGTCCGTGGTAGTCTTTCTGGAAAAGTTCAAAATATGACCGAATTTTCACAGAGGGATAATCGAGAGCGCTGATTCTCAAAAAACAATTTATTTCCGTTTTAGGCGTTATACGGTAAAGTTACGGTAGTCATCCTGTACAAAACCAACATCAGGGATTTTCGTGAGAAATTTTGTTTTGGGGTTATTTTACTTATTCATGTTTATAGTGTCCACTTTGTTCACTACTGTCTCACAGTGGGTATGGTAGCAATATGGTAGAATTCTCAAAACTGATGTAAGAAGGTGATATTAGAACTTAGGACTATCATTTTCGTGATCAGCATGCTACAAAACCTATATATCTAAAATTTTCCTAGAGCTTCCTAGAATGAACAATGCAAAAAATCAACAAAGTCAATGAAACCGATAATTTTTGATGGGCTAACGTCTGTCTCTTGCCCTCCCCGCATTACTCGTGCATGTAAACTTGATTTTCCAGAAACAGCATCATGAGCTGAAAATCTGTGAGTTAAATCTATCTACGGTGTACCTACCGTAACATTACATTACAGTATCCCAAGCCCGGACCACTCTGGCTAAGCTCAACTGGTGTCCATAATATGCCAGAACCCCATTGGCAAAGCTAGAGCTTCAGGGATCTTACGACCCACCGATGGGTCGTATTGTCGTAAATGTGTTAAGATGCGTGTAACATTGAAGGGCACGAGATTCAAATGCTGACAATTCTTCAAAACCTTCATGAATGCCAGTGCCTTTGCAATGCCTGTTGCATGAGCGGATTTGTTTTTCGTTGAAGAATGAGACACGGTACTCGTCGATGACGACTAGTTTTTCATGGAGGATAAGCGCTCTCTATCCGGTTTAGATTACGCAATGATGATGCTTGCGATGGATCCCTCAAAAAAGGCAAGCTTTATCATACTGCATTTACAAGGCTACGATTCAACGCAGAGAGTGTATACTGTTGTGTAGTGTAGCGTCATCATCAACATAATCACAGAGATGGACTTTTGTAGGGTGTTCTTTCATAAGGATTACGGTAATCGTATTTTCGACACCGCTGCAGCAGGATTTGTATCAAATGAGTTTTTGTTACTCAAAATGTAAGGCTGGACAAGGCGTAAGGTATATTTACTACTGCCTTGCTGGTAAGTGGGTAGAGGGCTATACGTCGCCGAAAAGGGAGGTCCCGCCTGGACATCTGCAACAACTACGCACCTCTTGCATGCACAGAAGGTGTACATTGTGGCAGTTGTCCGCGGACCTGCCCTTTCGACGATATAGTCCTCTACCCTTGCGCAGTGATAACACACTGTTTGATATCGACAATCATCTATTCTGTGACTAGGAGACACGCGACCGCATTGCGGACATTGTCTTAACAAATTTGAGTTTGTTCTTCCCGGTTTTCAAAGAGTGAATAAACCTGAACAAAATAAATAACAAGTATAAACCTGTTAAGTACACGATTAGGCTTGTTTAGACAATCTGTGCTATGTGGTCTCGTATCTCCTAGTCATAGAATGAATGATATCTACATCTATAAGGCTGGCTATCAATAAGTTCATTTTGATATGCAAAATCAAAGCTCTAAAATACTATGACAACAATCATAGCATTAGTCAAAAAAGGCAACATTTTCGTATTTTTGGTCCATTTTTGTCTTACGATCTCTAACCAGCTACTTCGCATGAGATGTTAGATGTGAGTACGTGCGTGACCTTGCTGAGGGTTCACAAGATGTTTATGGATGGAAATTCGATTTTGGATCTCCATTCAAAATTGGATCTCCATCCAAAAAACAACTTGGATTGGGGATCAAAAATCTTACGAATTTTGCCTCTAAACTTCGCCTAGACCAAACTATCTGCGTTTTATTCCAAACGCCATCCTACGAGGCTCGCTCTGTGCATTGATTTCCGGACAACCTAAGAAAACCCAACAAGAGAGTTTGCGCAGCATGTAAGTTTCATCAAAAAAAAAAGTTTGCCGCACAGCGAGTCTCCCTTTTCGACCTCTTCCGCTCGCACTCTAGCAACCCCACCATTCCATTTCAAAGCCATATTGAAAGAAAACTGGTTCCGCTGTGAAGGTGAAACATCGCAATTCTACATATACGCCGCATTCTCGCTACGTAATCTGAGATGTTTGATTTTTCGCTTGGAGGTTGGCTAAGGGAATGCTTTTCTTGTATTGAACATATGGCTCAAGGAAAAGGGCCTTTCTACCTTTCTGTACATTACCAATTCTCAAAATTTCACATTTCAAAGAAATTTTGCAGATTTTGGTGGGATGCCGTTGATTGCTTAAAAAATCGTTCTGCTGCGATTAATAGAAGGTTCCTCTTGCTTTGGTGTAAAGGGAAAAGAGGAGAGAGCTTCCTTTATGCTAGCTATATAGTAAGTGAAAGGAGGCTAAAAAAAGTCTAGAAAATGCATATGCGTTACGAAGAATCGACCAACAGTTGAGCGAATATGATTGACAAATTATCGTAGCTTTCATTTCCTTTGCTATTACTGGTGATCATTATAAAAATTCAAAGAGGAAAAAATAATTCTTATTTTGTATTGAGTGGTTAGAGGGCAAAAACGTTTTGTCGATTTTAGATTGATAGTACTTCTGAAAGTGGACATTACTTCACCGATAGAACATGTGTCACAAAACACGCATCACTCCAAATTACAGCCCGTATCAGTTGTCGTGCAGAGAACACAGTGATAAAATACTGTTTTCCCAGTATCAATGCTTAGTGAGAAATGTAAAAAATCTGAGCAGCAGTCCAGCTCTGGTAGAATTTGTAAAATTAGGATTTTAAGGTGGAAAAAACTGTAACAGAAAACGATGCCGATGAAAAACTGGCAATATGATTGGTTCCTAAGGTGTAGACAATAAATCTGACTCTCACCCAGTTTTATGCGTAGTTCAGAGAAAATTGTTTGTTTGTTGTCGCAGATCCGGTAATTAAAAGGTTTGTGTGATGGAAGGCGACTCAAAAAGTGAGCTAAAACACCTCCGCCTGGTCGTTAGACGTTCTTCGCTCCAATGATCCAAGGCTACGCGTATTGCGCGGAGGGATCATCATCTCATGTCCGGTGACCTTAGATGATCTTCCGCAAAGCGAACACACAGCGTGAGACCAATTAACACGTTTTGGAACGCGGCTAAATAGCATGCTACTGTGTGGCACGAGAGGCGCAAGGCGAAACTTTTTTTTAGAACAAGGAGTTCAGCGTTTTGAAGTGATAAATAGTGGAAAAGTTGGTTGTATTCAGCCGTTACCATGATGCTTGTCCACATATTACAGCGGCCTCATCGAGAAAAGTCACGGTAGGATTACGGTACAGGGGTCCAAAACTTCAAACTCGTCGAAAACTGAGCGCAAAGGATTCACTAAAAGTGCTGACTACGTTTACGGCCGTAGGTTGTGATCCGTTTCAATAGTGAGCACCTAGGCAACAAAAACTCATGATCTAGAAAATACAAACTCGCTGATGCACTGTGTGCAGCATAGACCCAGAACGAATTCAAAAAAAAAGATCTAGATATTGGGTGCAAAACATTTTTCGGGAGAGGTTTTGCTTTTCAGATTCAAACTCTTTGTAAATGTATAGATTTGTGAAAATACCAGTACCTTAGTGCCATAAGCAATTTCGAAACTTCACTTTCAGCACAATAAGTGGCGGAAGCAAACGTAGAAAGCTGATGAAGAGCTAATGATCAAACATTGATTGCGTTTGATATCTTAATGTGTGCGATTACATACAATACATACAACACGATCCAAAATGTATACAAAATTATTCTTGAATCTCAAAATGAAACTCGCATTGTATGCAGTGTGTGCAGCCACACTGATCATATAAAAATACCACCCTTAATTTGTAAGGAATAGGTAGTAATCTTTTAACTCTTTTGTACATTTTTCCTGTGTTAACATCCTATGTGCCTTATAGTAATAAAGCATGTAAAAGTTGCTGAATATCACTGATAGTTTAGCGCTAAAGTAAGATATACACTATGGCTTTTAGCGCGCTTTTTGGTAAGTTTTAGAAAAAAAATTTTGCTTACAGCACAAGGGCTAGAGTTTTTTGCGCTAACTTTGAACACAGAATGCTAATAAAAGTACGGTGAGCTTTAGAAATCCCATTCACTGCTTTGATATGTTTGTTTAGATAGCCATGATAAGAGTATAACATTCAATTTCGAATTTTTTCAAAGACGGAATGCAGGCATGAGCTAATCTCTGAAGGTATAGCTGGCAATACCTGTATGGGTCCTTGTGTGCCGCTTCAGATCAAACGTATCATTGAATCCTTTGCCGCAAAAAGTGCATAAGTATCTCTTCAAATCTGAGTGACACTTTGTATGTCGATTCAATAGGCGTTGTAAAGCGAATTTCTGAAGTAAATTTTATCTAGAAAGATTTAGATCCAATGTATGCTACTCACCTTACCACAGACACGACAATTGTACTGTCCATGATCGCTGGCTGTCGCTGTATCGTCTCTTGGCATAATTGCACCCGTGGCAAGAGGATTTTTCATTCCATAACCGCCATTAACGAACTCGAGCGGTTGCGTCGGAAGTACCTGAAAAGAAGCGTTATAGTGTCACAGTTAATATTATTTTTTATATGAAAAAGTGACGCCATTTTGTCGCATGAATTTTGTGAAGGTCTTGCCTTCTTTCTACAGTCGAGTCATTTGTAACTACACCACATTACGACACATGTATTTGCGAGTTTTAAATGAATTTCTCTTTTTGCCTCTTTTTAATGCTTAAATAGGCTGCTGCAACAAAGGCGCAATATTTTTAGGCACAAACACGGCTTTATTAGCCGCAGAGCACATGAGGCGCAGAATTTACAATGCTGAAGATACAGTCTGCCCCAATCGCAACCAAGCCAAAACTGGCATGGCGGAAATCCGTTGCGAGGGTATTGCGTCACGTGTACGGCTAGCTAGTCAGCTCTTTCCTTGATCTCTTCGCTCTGCGAGGCGCTCATATGCAGCGCAAACCCCCAGCGCTGCGAGCGCGCAAATTCAGCTGACGGTTTGGCCTGATCTCGATTAGGGCAGGCTGTACGCGCGCAGCAGGCGCCCGCTCAACCACTGCGCCTTCGTCATGCAGTACCCCTTAGGTACTGTAAGGCCCCGGACAGACTTCATGCGATTTGATCGTCGCGACTCAATCGCCGACATTTCCATTCATTTTCATTTCACATTTAAAAATCAAAAAATTTCGGGCTGGAAAAGTATCACAACCGAAATGCAAGTTGGTCGGCATGGAATGATGTTGTAACAGTTGTCTCGTCGCGATTCAGTCGCGACGATCAAATCGCGTGAAGTCTGTCCGGGGCCTAATGTGTGAGCATCATCTCCGATGGTCTGGTTTGCATCAGATCGGGGTCCTACGACAGGGATGGGACAGGGGCTCGGCACCCCTCGCGGATGTGGGAAGTCCATGCTAAGTTGCGAATGACTCGACTGTATGTTTCTCTCTCTCTCTCTCTCTCTCTCTCTCTCTCGAAAACATTTGCACTAACTGGAGGTAAGGCTTTTGGTATCTGAAGAAGTGGTGAAGATGGTTGCTTCTCTTCATCATGTGGTAACAATTGTTCCACAAAAAACTGCTTCGATTTGTCCGTTTTGATCAATGGTCCTATCTGAGGAAACACCGGAATGCGTGGGAACGGTCCGGTCATCGCAAATGGATGCGGTAGCGGATGCGGAAGCGGGAAGAGCGGCGGAAATGGTGAGACGAGCGACAGCCAGCGCGTGTCCATAGTTACTGAAAATCATCACATATTAGCTGAGTCGCTTCGAAACGATGTTCCCCGATAAAGGAAAAAAATCTGAGCTGAAATTACAGGAACTACAGATGGGAGAGGAGTGAAGAAAAGAACTGCGATTCTACAGTATAGCCAAGTAGCGGAAGAAAAAATGAAGTTGAGCGGGACTGGCAAGGACATCACGTAGGAAAAAAAATGAGAAAACTCACTATTTGTTGCAATGTGCTTCAAAAATACTTTTGGAATCATGAAATCATCCATATAACTCGTGTATGAGCTTCAACGTACAACTTGTTGCAGCTTGTTTCGCTCAAAGCTGAAGTTGCTTAAGCCTCGTATTGTTCTTTTTTGGAAAATCTTTTTTGAGTAATTCATTACAAAGCTGATGAAAAATGAGTTGAACACTTTGCTTGTCCTGATGCCTTCAAATCGATAGTGATTCTGCGTTAGTAACAAATCTAGTAAAACAAAAACCAGTCAGGAAACTTTGAATTCCAACCATCTTCGAATTTTGAATCACGTTCTGATTTCCTCCAAATCAAAGGAACACAGCTTTGTTTATCAATCAAAAGCTTCAAAAAATTGTTCACAATGGTTTCAGAAAGTTCACAAAAAGGCCCCACTGCTTCAGTAGTGCTGTGATATTCAAGAGGGGCCAAAAAGAAAACTCAAAAACTTTCAAACAAAACCTATTAGATTGTGCAAAAATCTATAAGTTGACGCATAAAACCAAAAAAACATAAGAATGTTTTGAAAACGGTAATTATATTTTTCCAAAGGACATCATTCACTTTTTGCATGTATCAGTGTACCTTATCATGAACATTAGTGATTTTTGATTTGAAAGCGAAAAAAAGAATAAAAGTTTCACATAACTGTAGGAACTTTAGGTCACACAAATTCCTCCCAGATAGAAATAGCATGTCATAAAACCAAAAGCACAGAATGAGGAACTAGTAGACGTTTTAGTAAATTTAGCGACCTTTCAAGAAATCAGTTCTTGGATGCTTCTCTTTACTAGCTTGTATCATTGCGATTTTATAGCAATCTGCTACCGTGGCATTTGTAAGCTGCAAGATTTTCTTTATCTGAGTTTAGTGAGAGATTTTATTGAAGTTTGAAAAGAGTATGAATCCTCCGAATTTTGAGGCGCAAGACTTATGTATGAACCTAACATTTTACATTTTTTTAAATCAGTTGATGACTTGCTTAGATGATTTTTAGGCCTCAGAAACAAAATGGAGCGGCGGCGAAATAGCATTGAGAAGCGTCAAAAAGGTTTGAAGCTTGAGTGGAAGACAGCTGTACATGCAATATGTGAAAGCGCAGATACGAAGAGAAGCGTGAAAACCTTAAGCTCGATTACTTAGTTCATCAACTCAATAAATGAGGCTTAGGAGCCAGTTGACTAATTTTTTTCCTCTAAGAAACGGCTAGACGCGGCCGCGCGGACGCAGCGGGTGGTTGACGTCCATTGGCTAACACCACTGTCACTGACTGGCATACGGTAACGCGATGGGGCCGGGAGGGGGGGGGTGAAGGGAGTGCGCGCGCAAAACGGGCTCGCGGCTACAGCCGCGACCATGAGTGTTTTGCTATGGAGAAGCAGCACTCGAAAGGCGATTATACGCTCTAACCGGCAGACAATGCGCAAGAACTCGACACCATGCGGGAATTGAAATGTTGTTCGACCGACACTGGGAACAGTGCAGCAGAAAAGGAGCATTGCGTTGTCGTCGCGGATTAGCAGAGGTTTAGAAAAATGGGAAAATCTCACAAATGCTTAAAAAGTTCTGACAATCATATGGTCGTGGATTCATCGCTCCACAAATGCGTGAAAGAGAAATAAAAATAAAAATATTCAAAGTACTCTCTTTAGAGCATTGGTGTGGGTTTGTCTGCTATGTACTGAGTAATTATTTCTTCTTTTTCTCCGCCGTATCTCGAATGTGCAAGGCATAAATGAATATACAAGGCGAAACAAAGACAGCACACTCTTTAAGGTAAGAGTACCGGTTACACAAAGTGCTTTTACCTCAAATTTTGGATTCAAGGCGATCAGTAACTCAAAATATCAGCACTCGTTTGCAAGAAGAAGATGACTAAGAGATATATGGAGTTCTACAACTTTTCCTCAAAATCCTGTATGCAAATCATTGCCTTTTCTCCCTATTAAATATTCAGAAAAAGATCTGGTGATCCAAACTTTCTCTAAGGGACCAGATATTGATATACAGCTCCGTTTTATTCTTTACAAACGGATTTGTATATACTGAATTTATGTGGTTTCGGCAAAACTCGAAGAAAGTTCAGGCAGAGCTGAAACAGATTACAAGAAAAACCAAAATAGAAAAAAAAACTGTATTAAGAATAAAAATTGATTGCTAAACTGAAGGCGACTGAAAATGGCCCTTCAAGATCCAGTGGTCATATTTGAGGTTAACAGACCTCAAAATGCAAAAAAAGCTTTTTTGTTGAGAGAATTCATTTTCGCGGAAATTGTTATACTAAGAATGGTAGAAGTCAATAATGCAATCAACGTTTAATTGTTTCACAAACTTTACAGAATGATTTTAACAGGACTTTTTTGTGCATCCCAAGAAATATTTTCGAGACTTTTTGTTGATGCAGGAGTGTGAAAAGTGTTGAGTCGCTCCAAAAATATTAGAAAATTTCTGAACGAGTTGCGACACGCTACCTGGTTCTTGTAACCAAAGTTTCTGTCGGCGTACTGTAATTCTTCTATTCAAGGGAGCAGGGAAATTACGTAAAAGAGCGAGTATTACAGAGAAATGTTATTGTTATACGAGGTAGTTTGATTTTTATGCTTGTTTTCGAGGTTTGAGGGTATTCGATGGCTAAATTTTTATTGGAGAACACTACCATCTCAAGAAGCTTAACAATAGTTATCTGCGCAAATCGTGCGCTTTCATTGCTCATCAAACCTTAAGAACTATTCTAATCAAAAAGACTTTTTTCTGCCCCCTGACAAGAGTAGAATCTTCAAGAACCAGTCGTTACTATGAATAGGAAATACTTTGATGGCAAACAGTTGTGCGCCGCATGAAGTAGCGGTAGCGAACGAGGCGGCGACGGCCTTGGCGAGGCGGTGAAGTGCGACTGAGAAGAGCTGGTCGAACAATACATATGGGGAATATCGACAAAACATCGGCCAGGAATTGGAAATTGAGACCGCCACGAGTTGTGAACGTTAGGACAGCTGAAGACTGTGTGTTGTGCAGCCAAAATGTCGAATGGGGAAGATAGCGACCTCTTCCTCCTAGCAGGCTAGCCATGGGTGACGCGTATAAGAAGGAACGGTTGTTCGCTCTTGGAATTAGTGGCTCAGCCGCAGCTAAGCTGAAAATAACCACCCAGCAATGTGCGCTGCGCTGATCACAACATGTACACCGAACACTGAACGGTTGTGCTGAAGTGTACGGTAGTCAGGGCGTGTGTGCGATTAGGAAAAGATGACGAGGCGAGCGAGTAGGTAATTATGAGGGATGAGAAGACACCCAACGAGGCGACCGACACCGTCGCCATCATCGCTGCTACTACTACTGCGTGGAGGTTACTGGTTAGTTAAACTGGGCGAACCTGAAAGAGGTGTGCGTTCGCACTTCTTCTGCTCTGAAGTTGAAGTGAAAACATGTCGAAGGCACTTGAAACTGCTGCGATGACGGTGTTTCCTGCACTTTTTCCTCGCCCTTGCTAACCTTCAAAGCAACAGTCAGTTCTGACCGATGCGACTCCTTGCGGGAAAGAGAAGCAGATTCTATATAGATCGAGCTAATACTGCTAAGAATAGTAGGGTTTGCAATAATATGTTTTATTTTCCTAATATGACGCTTGATACTGCACACATAGAAAAACTATAGGTCAAGAGATCAGCAACTCGAAAGGTAGCTTGCACAACTCGCATGGGACTCCAAGGTTACAGATTGTTAGTAGAACCGATACGATGCAAACATACCGATCAGAAATGATTGTGCACATACTCAGCATCTACGCCTACTCAAAAAAAGTTGAATCAAAAACGATTTTGTTGGGTTGGGCAACCTGTAAGTAGAAATGTAAAAATATGGTGCGCATGGTGTGCCATTACACCTATTGGATTACATATGACTTGAGCTAAGAATCACTTATTACAAATGGTTGAGTATAAGTCGCTAACTATTGAAAGTCTTCCTGTGTTGTGCTGGCTTCGAACTTGCCAAACTTTATGTTTTTAGAAGAAAATGATTTCTGATTCAACAAGTTCACATCACGCAAATGATGATACGTATTTTTTTGAATGGTGGTTGAAGACAGATCAAACTGTATCACAAGAGAGGATGACAGTCAGCAGTTCAAGTGCAAGAGTGTCATAAACTTGATTTCTGTCCAGTGACGGTTTACCTTTCATATAATTAGAGGGTACTCCACACAATTACGCTACAAAGTTCTTCTGAAGAATTCTCTGGTTGTTGAATGTGCGGCCATAGCTAGTCATCGTAACTTCTTGAGCAGAATAAAAAGTTTCACAGAGGCCAGCCGATATCCACATGCAAAAGGCAGAGGATCCGATGCATTTAGCTGTTTTAAAGCGCGATCATTATACAGAGAATTTGCTGAAGGCTTACGTTGAGGTGAGCAAGAACTTTTTCTAACATCATTTGAAAGGCTAGATAGATTTTATAAAGTCAAGTAATTCAAAGAGAATGTTCAAAGAGACGAAACAAAAATGAGGGTGGCGTTCCTATTGACGGTTTCCCTTGATTTTCTGTCCGTTGTTTATTGAGTCGACTCCTAGAATGTTATGAAAGTCATCACCAATTTTGGACTTTGTCGCACAATATGAGTTGAAAAAAAAAACAAGTTTCCTTAAGTAGCAAGATTGTACTACACATTACATAATCATGCTAATATGCAATTGTCAACAAAGCAACATAGTAGCTCTTTCGCAAGAATTAAATCTCATTTTTGGTATTTCATGAACAAGAATAGCAAAT